CGGTCGCCTTCGTACGCTGTACGACGGGAGCAGACCTTAAGTGCGAAGGCCGTGTCTTCCGCTACTATTACTAGCGGCTGGGTGGTAGCGGAAGCTTTCCGCTTGAGCAACAGGCTGGACTCGTGCAGCACTGGCACGGGACCCACAGAAGCGGGGCGAGTCACTGACAGCTCCCAGGGCCAGCTCGCATTGTGCGCAAACCATGAGGCTGATTCCCACGGCTGACGAGCACCGGCTCTGCGTGGTATTGACGACCAGAGGTTACTAACCTGGTCGTTGAAGTCGCCCTCCGGGGCGCTGCCCCTGGGCAGCATCCTTGACACAAGGAAGAGGAGCACTGCTCAAGCCAACGGCTGTTGTCCAGGCGGCTTGCAGGAAAGGGCTACCAGCACACGAACACAAGCGCACTCACTCTGGAAAGCTCAACTCAAGCGACGCGCTGCGACCCGCACCTCCCCGGGCAGTCCTGAGGGAGGAGAGGAGGAAGAGAGAGCTGGGAAGGAAGTGAGGCTTAAAAGGCTGCGGCAATCACGCACTGGAGAACTCGAGGCCCCGCTGGTGGCACTGCACCTAGAGCTACCTCCAGAGGACCTACCAGGTCTGGGAAAACTGCGTTGAAACCTACTAGGCAAAAGAAACTGCAGCCCTACAAGGTCTGTGTGCACACGCAACCTGCGGTGTTCTTTTTTCCGACCTCGCGGTGCGAGTGTCTGGGCTGAGCCCGCTTGTGAAGGTGCGCTGCACCTGCCTTCTGCGATCCGCAGACAGGCCGGTGGGCAGCGGAGGCTCCTGTGGCCGGACTGTGCCGGCACTACTGTGCTCTGCACCTGTGTGAGACGGGCGCAGACGAAAGGGCCACTGGCCCTTCAAAACTGTGTCCGAACACTGTTCGGGAGGCACTGGTGCACGCCGCTGGCGTCTCTACCAGTCACGGTAGTTCCAGCGCCGGTCTTGGTCCCAAGACCAGCGACCACGGGACCACTGGTCCCGGTCCTCGTCGTCACGGCGGGACCTCTGGTCCTTGCCTTTGCCCTTGCCCTTGCCGTCTCTGCGGCGGGCCTCCCGTTCGCGGTGCTCGCGCTCACGGGCTTCGGCTGCCTCGCGCTGCAAGGTCAACCGAAGGGACTCGGGCGGCCCCCTAGTAGGGCGGCGGTCGCCCTTGTACTCGAGCTTGCCGTCTGTCCGCGGGACAGTGCCTGGGCAAGAGTAGTGCTTGGCGCAGCGTGTGCAATGCATCACGCCGCACTCTGGACACTGCCAGGCCTTGCTGCGACGATCGTTGGTAAACCACCGCGCCACTGGCGCTGGGCTGATCATAGGCATGCACTGCTGCCCTGAAAGCGTGATGCTCGCCGCATGCACTGCACACGAACTCCGACGACGGGTCGTTCCAGATGTTCATCTGCTCGTTGTCGCAGACTGAACATGCGAAGACTCGCTGAAGCTCCGCCGCTGGCGGCCGCTCTTCCTGATCGTCTCGATCAGGGTGGTCGTCTGTTGCCGGGCCGCTGGCCCGGGTCCCAGCGACGCCAGCAGGGTTGTTGCGCGGGGCCTGCTGGCAGGGACGCGGGCGAGAGCTCTCCCCACGACGTGCCACTGGCGGTGGGGGGGGCCGCTTGAGGTGGCGTGGGGCGGCGGCCTTCGCAGGCGCCGCTGGCGCCTGGTTCCTCTCGGCTACCGGCACTGCCGGGCTCGAGGACTTGCGAGCCACCTTACCCTCAAGGGGAGGATGCGGTTGCGTTGGCGGCGGCGGGGAGTCGCTCTCTGACTCCGACTCCTCCGAGCGGGAGCCTCGGTCATCCTCGGTTTCATCCCGCCGCCCGCTGCGCTCCTCCACGTCCATATCCTCCGGCGCTGCCGAGGGAGCTTCCGCTGGAAGCGGTTCTTCTTTGATGCCAGACCCCGCTTCCTCAGCGGGACTGGTCGGGGAGCGTTGTTGCGAGGCCTGCGCTGCAGCCGTCGTCAGAGGCAAACTGGCCACCGCGCTGCGGTGGCCGTCGGAAGAGACACCACGTGCCGCCACTGGTGGCTCGGTGTTTGCCGGCACCACTGGGGGCTCGTATCCGAGCAAGAGTCGCTGAAGCGCGACTGCATTGGCCTCTGTGCCGCCACTGGCGGGCTTCGTCCAACCAGCGAGTTCCGCTGCCTCTGCCGCATTCACCACCACGTCCCCTATCTCTGATAGGGAGACGGCGGCTTCGTAGAGGGCGGCCCTCTGGGCCTCCGGCACTGCGCTGAGCGCCTGCAGCATCTGCTCATTTGTCGGGTTCGCCATCGCTGATGGCAGACAGAGGCTTCCGCTGAAAGCGGGGTTGTTTTGGGCACGGGGGGCGACTTACTAAGCTGAAAAGGCTGCGGTACGAAAGCGCTGCTTGAAAACCGACACGGTTTAAGAAGCTGACACAGCTGAGGAGACCTACCAGGCTCGCGTGACACACGACTGAAGAAGACTAGCGGCGATCTTTTGCCGCCATTCAAAGCATGCCGTCGGCCCGCCGCTGTGGGCGAGGTTCCAAGTACCTCGGAGACGCCCGCCCTGCAGAGGCTGCCGAGCTGTCGGCGGTGAACCAAAAAGAGGTGCGCTGCACCGACGGGGGGCGACTCGCTGAGAGGCCAGCAGCTACGCGCTGCACTCAATGCCTAACGGCGGCCGCCCCTGACGCCGCGGTTTCGGGGTCGCTGACCCCGGCCGCTGCGATAGCAGTTGTCGCATTCGTGATGATTGTGGGGGCTCCTGCCCACTGAGCAGTGCCGCCCACAAATCGCCATGCCCTGGGAGATGCAGCCCTGCTGCGCGCAAGGCATGCAACACATGAGGTCGCCGCGCCTCTCCGGGTATTTCTCCCATCTCTCTGAGTTGGGGGCTGCCCAGTAGGGCCATTCGTGCACGTCTGTGACGTGCAGGTGCGGCGAGACCCTTTTGGCGTGCGCTACTAGCGCACGCAGGCCGGGGTACCTGTTGTCGGTCGCTGACCCAAGGTTACGCCAATCGTTATTTTGGGGGTCCTCCCCAGGCTGAAACTGCCAGCCTCGCTGGCGATTGCGACGCTGCGGTCTGGACACGACCACAGTGTTCGCGTTCGGCGCGAACGGCACTGCCGTTGCGGCCTGGCTGCTAGCCAAAGATACCTCGGAGTCTCCCGAGTTCTGATCACTGTCAGTGTCAATAACTTCAATTGCTGGCTCCGCCGCTGGCGGGGCGACGTCGGCAGCTTCGGCTGCGGGCGGGCTGCCTGTTGTGGCCGAAACAGGCTTGGCAGGAGCGGCCGCTGGCGGCGGCAAGGGAGGGTCCGAGGCTGATGCCGACGCTGTCGGCAGAGCAGTGCTGGACGAGGCGGTGGGGTCAGTACTGCCGCTGGCAGTTTTGTGAGTCTTTTTCTTTTTCTTCTCCGCAGGGAGAATCTTGACCCAACCGCCCTTGCCTTTGCCCTTACCCTCTGGGTGCCATTGGAAGCCGCTGGCTTCCACCTTAGCAGCCACGTGGCCCTCTAGGGCATCCACCCAATTGAGTCTCCACTGGAGCTTGGGGACATTGTCTTCCTCCCCACTGGGGGGCCAGTCAAAGAGGCCGGTATACGGCCAACCAGGCGTGGCCGCTGGCCGCATAGGCACGTCGCGCTGCGACACAGTATACCGATGCATCGGATAGGCACTGCCTGAGGTGTCCGGTTGTTCCCCCTGCATCTGCGCAAAAGGGTAGAAGGGGGGCCAAACTTTGGATTCCCCTTCCCTTGCTCGATTGAGGGATTCGTGGTCGTCGCTGACGACCGCGGGGTCTACCCGCATGGCGCAGCTAATGGCCCAAAGGAGATAACTTATCTCCTGTTGTGCCATTTCTTCACGCATGGCCTGCTCTAGCACAAATATTGGATTGCACTGAAAAAAGCGGAGGCAGGAGCGACACTGTCGCACGCGTTGCAGGCATTGTGGCGCTGCCAACTGATTTTCTCGACCGTCCCTTCTAGGGTACGGCGCCTCTGGCGACTCAGCCGCATAAGTGCGGGCTGCTTGGTCAACCATAACTGGCACTGACAGTTATATAAAAAGGGGGTGGAAGGTCGTCGCTGACGACCCCCACTGCTGCGGAGCACTACAAGCTACTCTATAAAAACTTTTTGGATCACAGATCCAACTTCAAGCCGAAAGCTGCACGGCAAAGCTTGTCTAGTGTCACTCACACACAAGTGAAAACACTGTTTTCCTTTTTCGACAAACTTTGTCTACACTTTCGGCGGAAAATAAAACCCATTCACGCACGCATGATGGATGCGAAATGAGGCCTGTTAGAGAGCTTACGAGTCTCATAGAAAAGGCAGCACTCGGACAAACTACGCTCAACAGGTTCTTTTCTTTCGGTTTGGCAAAGCCTCTCGGGGAAAGAAGTGCATGCTCCGGATCCCCCTCGGGATCCCAACACATGTTGGCACTTCGCCAACAGCCCCTCCGGGCTCGTGGAAAAGTTATGGGGCATCTTTCACCCCGCAAAGTTTGGGTGGGAGTGGTGGGTACAAACTTTGCTGCACGGAAGGTTCCCGCCCACCCACCCTATGTTTGAGCATGCGCGGAACAACAAAGATTCATAAAAGTTCAAATGGAATCTCATGACACATGAAGCGGTTTCGAAAAACTTCTTCAAAACTTTCGAAACCTACCAAAAAGGTTATAAAGCCTTATGGGACTAGTTTGTGATTTTTAGCGTCCCAAAAACGGCCTATAACCAATGTGGCTTCATGTATCATGCGGGCCTTTCTTTAAGTCCACTCGAATATGTCTTTCAATCGCATATATATAAAGTGGAAATGAGGCCTGTTAGAGAGCTTACGAGTCTCATAGAAAAGGCAGCACTCGGACAAACTACGCTCAACAGGTTCTTTTCTTTCGGTTTGGCAAAGCCTCTCGGGGAAAGAAGTGCATGCTCCGGATCCCCCTCGGGATCCCAACACATGTTGGCACTTCGCCAACAGCCCCTCCGGGCTCGTGGAAAAGTTATGGGGCATCTTTCACCCCTGCACTCTTTGCCCCGTGACTTTGAGAACTCTGCCGCTTATGAAGCACACAATCCGATCTTCGAAGTACTCGCCGAAAACAGGGAATCTCCAGTCGGACCGCGAAGGCCCATCGCCGGGGTTCGACTTGCTCGGGACCCGAGCGAACCACGAGATCGCTGGCCCCATCGAGTCGGCACACTCGTAGTGAAGCAAGATGCTCCTCCAGAGATCATCGCGGGAAGACCCTTTGATCATCGCAGACAAAACACCACTGTGATCCACGTAAAAGACGACCCTCTGATCATTCAGGAAATCTTTCCAGACATGTCTGGCCGCCACCACCGCGAAAAGCTCGGTAGGACCTATCAGGTGTCTCTTGCCCAGTCCCGCCCATTGCTCGACGACCGATTCGTCCAGGTAGCACCCGAACGCCCTCGTCTCGCGAAAACCAGTTGGCAGCACCCGATACATGACACCTCCGATTGAGCAGCTAAACTTGTCCCCCAGCTTGTCGCATGCACCGTCAGTGAAAACAAGAGTCTGGCCGCCAATGGGAAGAACCTGGATCTCGCGCGGCCTGCCCTCAAGCATCCTCTCCCTCAAGCTTCTGAAGACAGTGGCGTCCAGGGAAGATAGAACATGACGGTGACGAGCACTCGAAAGCCAGCGAATCTGAGCCAAAGCCAGGCGCCCCTGTCGGCCCATCAACTGACTTTCCGAAAACTGTATCCGGCCAAACAAAGAGGGGATCTGCTTCGGATCAATACAGCCATCCGCAAGGATCTTATCGATCGAAGAGGCAATTTCCTTGGATCTTTCTGGCTTGTTTTTGACCCTCAGCACTCCGCCCTCCATATCCGTCGCATCCAGTCGGACGCCCAAAACATCGGCCGTCGGTGAGAAGGGAAGGTCCTTGTCGCTCGCCCAGTCAACTCCAAAAAGGCGCAACGCTGCCTTCACGGAGGAGTCATGGTTTTCGGCAAGGGCCCTGACCTCCACCGACGGGAAATCGTCGAAGTAGCTCGCCGCAGCGAGCTTCAGCTGCCAGAGAATCCTTTGCCACAGCCTCGAAAACCTGTTGAACTGACCGACCGAGGCCAGGGCCCCGAACGGCAAAACGCGGCAGACGAACCCCTTTGTTGAGCCGTCCGCCGGATCCTTCAAGGTCACCACGCACATCCGATGGTGTTCCGGCCGTATAGCGAACTGTTTATAAGCTGAGCGCAGATCCGTAGTCTTCAAGACCGGCGAGCAGCGGCGAGCGTCCTGGTGCCAATACGAATGCAAAGGCCCCGACAAGACGGAGCCGTCGGACTTCCGGAAGAAAACCTCGCGTCGCCCCAAGCTGGCCCTCATCAAAGCCATACATGCCCAAGTGATTTCATCAAGCGCACGCAAACCGATCCTCTCCATTACTGCCCAAGCTTGATTGACGGCATTCTCGGACAGGTCGTCGATGGGCCGCAATTTGTTCTTTTGTCTGATGGAGAATCTGCGCACAGGTATCCACTTGGAGTCAAACATGTTCTGCAGTTGCTCCCACGTGTAGGGTCCATGCAACCAACCTTTCTCGTCAGCTTCAGCACAAGTGAGATCCCAGAGCTCCTGATCATCCGGGTGGCTCGCATCGCCCGACACCTTGCCCCACAGGGCTGGCTTCAAGAACTTAGCGTGCTCAAGCAACTCGTCAACGGACATCGAAGAGGGTTTCGGGTCCACCTCAAAGATGCCTGTAAGCTTGGCCTCACCCACGAGCTCAAAGCCATTCTCGATGTCGTCGATTATCGTGGCATCAGGCCACTGTAAATCCTCGGCCACACGCCGCAGGAGGGTCAAGTTTTTTTTTTTTTTTATCTTCTCGACATCTGGGTGAAGCCTCGCGTGCAAGGAGGCCTCGGCTCCACGAAGTTCTTGAGACCACTTTTTCCATTTCGTCAAGGTGTCCAAGCGATGCCTCATGACTGCCAAGGGCCCTTTCGTGAGGGTGAACGCAAGAATCTCGAGCATCTCGTCCGGCACTGCAGAAGACAGGTCGAAAGGATGAGATAGAGTAACTGCTGTCCTGACGAACTCATCCTCGGTCCTGTAAACCCCAAACGTAACCCTAAAGCCCGAACCTGAAGGACCCTCGCCCCCTTGCACAGGCACCACCTGAAGGATGCGGGCACCGACAGGCACCGACTGAAAAGCGGCCGTCAAGGAGTTTTTCGCATCATAACGTAGAGCGTCCATGGACGGAACCTGCAAAGTAACCCGATGCTTGTATTCGGGCATGAGCGGCGGCACCTTGGAGACCTTGGGCTGGCGCTGCACTGCAATGGAGGATCGATGATTGGCAGATGGCTTGACTGCATCAGGGGACACAGCAAACCCTAGTGAACCCGGGAAAACAACTACCTGGGCGGCGAGCCGACTGCACAACAAACGCGGCCGGGCCCGCAGTGAAGTCACTGACTGGAAGGCTCTAGAAGGTTCCTGATTGTCGTCGGCCGACACAGCGAGAGCGCTTAAAGGCTGGACGTTAGTATGCAACAGCATCTGGCGGTGCTGCTCGCCACCATGGGCACATAGGTCGAACTTCACAGCTTGCGAGGCAGGCAGAGCCAAAGTCGACCACAGTCGGCTGTTCAGCGGATTCAAGACGCACCACCCGATATCAAGAGTGGCGAGGAAAGCCAAGAAAGAGCTGAGTTCGGACGACACCTGGGCAAAACCTGCTGGAAGTTCGCCCGCAGAAGCGGCCACAGTGGGGGGCAGCAAGCACAAAGACGACCCTCCTAGCGAGTACAACCTTAACTAGAAAATCCCATGAGGCAGTCTTCCTGAGATCCAACGACACAACGCTGATCAGAGCTCTCTGCTTTAGGTGCGGTTGTTCGACCGCGAGCACATCGAATCCGGCGGCCCTCAAGGAGGCTCCAAACTCACCTGCATTGCAAAAGAGGTCAAGGCACAGCAAAGAAGCGACTTGCAGTTGCGCCGGGAGGGCATCACATGCCTCATCCACTTGAGAACTTCGGAGGTCATGAAAGGTTCCCCCGACTTCGATCAAATCCGGACTAAAGTTGGGCGCCGTTTTGGGAACAGGGAAGCTCAGCTCAGCTAACCGCGCCCTACAGTCAACATCAAGCTCCTGGACCCTAGCAACGCAAAACCCAACTATGACCACGCGTCGACCGCTCCACGGCCGTGTAGCGTGCACATGGCTGCAAGCATAGAAGGCCTTCGGTCCGGAGGCAACATCGATCAAGATGCCACGCTTCGTAACACCATCGACCTCAAGAGGAAAAACGCCCTGAGCCGACTCGACCCAGACCTCGCCTTTCCGAAAATTGCTGAGTGGCACAAGAATGTTCGGGAAAGGAGAGTTGAAGCGGTCGACATGAGGCTCCGTCTTAAGGTCTGAAAACACACTCAGAGTAGAAAATTGCATCCCTGGGGCAGCGCGTTGCACTGCCTGAGCGAAAACCTTCGAAGCCGCCGGATGTTTGTTGCAGTTGCTCCTGAGACCGAGCAGCGGCCCCTTCGCATAGGCACCAGTCGAGAAGGCCACGGCTCCATCGTCACGAGTATTGCTCAAAAGCGGCTCCTGAGGCAGCATGTCAAACAAACGAATCAACTCCTGGGCCGTGGGATCCCTGCCCAAAGACAGAAGCTCCTCAGCATAAGAGTCCGCATGCACTTTCGGATCGAGTTGGTTCGATCCTTGCCCTTCAAATGGCACTGCTTGGGCCCCTTCGGGCGCACTCAAAAGAGGCTCATCCCCTTCGGGATGGGCCGTAAGCACTTGCTGGATTGCTCGAGAATGGCCTTCGCCACTCCCAGACCCTGCCGCCGACCCTTGCGCACCCGGGGCCGGGGTTGAACTTAATAGTCAAGCGCCCGCCTGCTCGCCATCTTTCGGCTTCTTGGGACACTTGACAGCGGCGTGGTTCATGCCGCACTTGGGGACTGCACAGATGTGCAATCCCTTCTCACATTTATTGCCCGTCACCTTGTTCGGGCATGACCCCAGGTTAAAGGCATAGCAGATCGGGTGCCCTTTCGCGGTGTGCGAATTGCACCCACCCACGAAGCTCGCTTGGCATAGCAACGAAGCGCTTCTTCCCTTTGCCATCTTTGCCCTTGCCCTTACCTTTGTACGGCGACTCTCGCAGACGAGCAGGCTCACTGGGACCGTACGAAGACGAGGGGCCGCCCTGGAGCGGCTGCATCAGCGAAACCACCTCATGCATGCAGCTGACAGAATCTATGATCCCATCGATCGGACGGCCTTTGGCATCCGACTGAATGCCTGTGCGCGTATGGTCCTGAAGCTCCAAAAAGAGCCTCGAGTCTGCATTTTGCAACTGAGCGAAGGTAACCTGCTGGTAACCCGGCGGGGGCGTAGTCAGCCTCGCCTTCATCAACTTTTGATGCCACATGTCAAGCTTTGTGAAAGAAACAATGTTAGCCTGATCGAATGCAAGAGCACGCTTCTGCAGAGCCTGCAGAAGCATCACTTCAGTGGACGTGTCAGCCACCTGATCCTTGGCCTTGTTCTCTACCTTGAGCTTACCACTCTCGCCGTCTATCGAAAGCTTCAGGTCCTTCTTACCGTCGCCCAGGAGCTCCTGTTCCCGCGATGTGCACTTAGACCAAGGGACATACTGGATCACATTGGCCTCATACTGACCGACGCAAAGGTCGACCAGGGCCTCTGATGGCTCCGAGGAACCCTTTATCGTGATGCCAGTCAACTGTGAACGTTGTCGCTCAATTCTCTCAGCCCTCTCGGGCTGACTCAAATGACGAACTGTCGGCTCCTCGACCCTTTCAACCTGCTGTCGCATCTCCGAAGTGACAATGGCATATGCCTCATGGAAAACTGCTCTGAAAGCTGCCTTCTGATTCATCTCTGGGTCCTTTCCAAGCATCGTCTTAAGGGCCTCGATCAACGGACCTTCGTCCGCAGCCCCCGGAGCAAAGGAGCTCACGAAGGCCAACTGCTTCAAGCTCTTAACGTGCTTCAGGATGAGATCGCGCTCAGCCTGCTCAAAACCCGCCTTCGAGAGACGGGACACCAGAACTGGCTCGGACTCCGAGTATGCGGAAGCCATGGCTCGCTCCTTCAGAACTGGCCTACCTTCAAGTAGCTCGAGCGACTCTCACTTGAAATCACAAGGCGGCATTTGCGACTCCGAACTGTTGAGACCACGCAATGCCAAGTGCAGCGCTCCTTGTATTCCGTGCGCATATTCATCCCGCCTTCGCGGGCTCTCGCGATGAGAGGTTCACAAAATTCGCATGGCGGCACTCCAGCCAGCCAGCCTATCGATCCCTCACCTCGCCTCTGGAAAGCACTGCCTGCAGATTGGATGCAAAAACCTGGGAGTCGCGTTGCACTCCAAGTAAGACGATGTAATCTGTCTGCCACACTTAAAATTTGTGCCCTCCTCAGAAGCGACCAAGTGTATGAAGCGGGTGGTAACATGCCGAAAGACCGTCTTGCCCTCCAGATTTTCTCGAAGGCAGCCGCTCGGCTCAAATTCGCCGACACTGTCCTCAACGACCTTCTCCTCCTCGAGAGTATCTGGCTCCTCCTCATCATCGCTCCTGTCGGAAGAAGAATCTGAGCCGACCTCGGCCTTGTCATGAGCTTCTTCCCTGGCAGCCAAAGACTCCGCAAACATGCCCGAGCGCGTGGCGTCCGGGAAGAACCGCCTGTAAGCGACCGCAGAAACCATTTCCTCCAACTCACGCAACGCAGGGGAGACGCTGTCCCTCGCGTAGATAACATCCGTGCCGGCGTTGGCACTGGAGTGATATCCGAGTATCGACCGGATTTCCTTACTAGCTCCCCACTTAGACATCCAAGATAAGAGCGTAGCTTTGCAGGAGTGAGTACCAGCGGCCTTGACCAATGAAACATCCTCGCCTGCACGATAGAGAAGGTGGCGAAGCCACCGCGCTCCGGCTTGCGCAGACATAGGCGCCTTCTGCCATTGGCCCCCCTCGGTGGGGGACGGTAGCAGGGGCATGTCAGGTCCCCATGCAGGCCCAGCCCTGCCGGCTACCTCCATCCAGGCCATCGCCCAAGAATCCTGCTCGAGACCCCATATAGGGCTGACCATAGCAAGATATCGGGTTTTGCGCTCCAGATTATGACTCGTCTTGCTCCTGGTGACCCTCGCTTCAAGGTAACCGCGCGGTCCGTCTTCTCCTTGCACGACGTCCTTCGCCAGCTCGCCAGAACACTGCATGTCCGAAAAACGGGCTCTCGCAAACACACAATATAAAAAGCACCCGGCCGCGTAGCGATCGACATCTGTGCGGACTTCAGGCATAAGTCCAAGCACGATTCGCTCCAGAGCCCGCACCTGTGAAGCCGTCAATGGCGGCTTCTGTTGCAGCTTTCTCTTCTCCAAGTAGAGCTTCGAAACCGCGCCAGCCAACCTGCTACTAACACAATCGTCCGGAACCTTCGCCTCCAAGACATATTGCATGAAGCCAACGGAACTCATAAAGCTGGATGCAAAGGTAGGAGCAGCCCCACTGCAATACTCTTTGACGAAGCGATACATCTTCTGCTCAGACAAAGGAAAAGGCTGTTCTCTGATGCGCCAGCAGAATGCCATGTATCTTAGGACCGGGCCAGCCCTGCTGTGAAGCGTACTGCTCGCCTTAAGCGAGAAAACATCTCCTAGAGACTCCTGCAGGGAGGCCGGCAATCCAGCTTCAGCATCCTCCGCCACTCTGGCACAGACCCCGAAGAAGTCGCCGCCCTCTTTCGCAATCCGAAGCCACTTCATGACAGCCGCATGCCTGTTATCCGACTGTCTCTGAACCCAAGAAGGCCCAACCTTCCGTGGCAGCTTGCCGCCAGTGGCAGTCAGATTTATAGCCGGCGGGCCACTCGGAGCTTTCACAGGAGCAGCAGCTGTATGAGTAAGCACATTCCCAAGACGCCCCTTTCCCAGAAATGCACTCGGCAAAATACTCGGCACATTAACAATGCTTCTCTCCCATGGTTGCTTTGAGCTGCTCGTAGAATTCTGATGCACGACATGGGCAAGATGCCCATCGAATGCAGCATCAAACGTCCTCTTCTCTGCCATCGCACGAGAAGCTGCCCATGCGCCACTAAGGCGGTACACCAGGGGTTCTCGGGCCCGAAACCTGTTTCACACAGCTTGGCCCGGAGCCCGTGTTCTACACAAATCTCTCTTCCCCCCCGTACAAACTTTGCTGCACGGAAGGTTCCCGCCCACCCACCCTATGTTTGAGCATGCGCGGAACAACAAAGATTCGTAAAAGTTCAAATCGAATCTCATGACACACGAAGCGGTTTCGAAAGAAAACTTCTCAAAACTTTCGAAACCTACCAAAAAGGTTATAAAGCCTTATGGGACTAGTTTGTGATTTTTAGCGTCCCAAAAACGGCTTCAGGCACGCCGGACTACTACGATGCCGCTTCCCAGGGCGGCAGGCCGACTATTGCGGCCATGAAAAGAGAGCTAAGTACCGCGTCCTACTGATCTCTTTCAGGTCAGTAGAGTTAGCTACGACAGTCGGAGTGTCATCGTTCTGTACATGGGGGGCCGGATGGGCGTCGTCCTCGGCAAGGCTCCTTTGGAGCTCACTGTAAAAGGCGGCTGTCGGCTCCCCCTTGGGGGCCGAAACACCCATTGAGCGATAATGGCCTGAGTCCGGAGTGCATCCGATCTGATACACTACCGAGTTGAGCACATAGGTGCAGGGCTCTGTGTGAACACCATCGGTGAATGTGGGCACCTGCAGCCGTGGCGAGAGGTTAACCCTGTGTTGCAGTTTCCCGACTTCGCCTCTGAGATCCCCGCATAAGCTGAATGCTCAGGATCGGCGAGGGTCTGACGAGTGCCGTAACCTCTCCCGTGTCTTGCTCATAGGTCCAATCCTCAATGAGCTGCTGAAGAGTTTTGTTGGGCTTGCATGGTAATGTGATGAGTGGCACTGGACTCATTCGCTGATGAGCATGAATAAAGGGCCCCTCCGTAGATCGGGCTTCCCATGAGCCATGTATGCCTGGCAGACTCGCATGGTCTGCGAGGAATGTGAAGAATTCAGCCACGTCGTGTTGCTGATGCGTTCTGGGCCACGTCCTGAGTAAATCAAGCCACGCCTTTCTCCGATAGAGCTGAACCGATCCATTCGGATTAAGAAGCTCTCAGTAGCTGATGAAGATCCCCAAAGTGAGAATTGCAATCTGAGGCTCGAGCAGTGTAGATCCACATGAGTGCCTATACAAGCAAATTGAGGTAGCACAGGTTATGTGCGTTGGCAAGAACAAGCAATGGAGGCGGTTCCAGATCAATGTGAGCAGCGACTAACGGATTGTTTGCAGCTCTCGATAATGCAGCTGCTAATGTCCCCAAGTTCTCAAGCCATTGCTTGAGCGTCCCCTTGTTCCCGTGTTAGGGATATCCCCTTGCTGATGTGTTAGCTTCCCCTTTTGGGGGCCGAATTTCGGCTTCCCTGGATGGCTTTCTGCCTGCTGACCTCTTCTGTCATTGCGTTGCAGGTCTTCAGGCAGTACACCTGCCGGCGGGGCTTCGAGCTGTTTCAGCTTCCCCCTGCTGAAAATGGTTTGTTTCGGGGCCGATGTTGGCTTCTCTTCCTCCCTGGTATCCTCCGGGGCCGGCGGCGGCTGCCCCTTTTTCTGAATTTTAACACTTCAAGTTAGTGCCACTTCGAGCCAAAACTGCAGCGGCTTAGGGTTGGGTGAAGGAGTGCAACGCAGCTTGACTAAACCCTAAACCTGACACTCGACAGCTTACAGAAGACGCGCTCTCTCTCTCTTTTCGTGGTGACTGTGGGCACGTGTTGTTCGGCACTCTCGTTAAGACTGCAACAAGTAAAACACTCTGTTGCAGCAGAGAGCACGTGTTGTTTGGCACTCTGTTAAGAGTGCAACAAGTAAAACACCCTGTGCAGCAGCAGGCTCTGCTGCAAAGAAACTCTGTGTTACAAGGCGGTCCAGGCTTCGTGAGGCAAGCACTGCCAGCAGGCAGCCGACAGTTCGGAAGTCAAGCGGAGTTACTTGAAGGAGCACCGCCAAGAGGTGGCGCGTTTCCCCCTTGGCAATGTGCCGTGTTCTCACGCCTTGAGTCGAACCTTTGAGCCTTGAGGGTTAGGGTCGGGTTTTAAGGGAAATCAAAAGTCGTTGGAAAATCAACTGCATCTGACGCTCGAATGCATTCACCAAGGTTCCACACCAAAGCTCAAGCAGTTAACGATCGAACATGCAGTTGCTCAGAATCACTCTTGAGGCATCGCGCAATCGAAGGCATACTCGAAGACCATTGTTTTCAATCGGTGCGTCGAACTGGATCTTGCCGTCTGAAGCCTGGACCACATGTTCACATGACGGTCGCAGTTGCCTCGAGACCCCCGGTGTGGGAGGGCGGGTCACAAAAGAACTTGAGGCGTAACTTTGCCGTGCAAGGATCTCATTCACACTGTACAGTGATCAAGCACTCAATCTAAAATCAAGCCGAGGTAAAATCAAGCTCAAGTGAAATCGTCGATCACATGTCCGCAAGGATTCAAGCGTTCAGAGTCGTACTGTTTTTCCCCCCCACCCCCCCTCAAGGCTCTCGAACACACTTTTGGTAGGACCCAAGCAGCGTGTTCTCACGCCTAACTGCGGTTCAGGCAAGACTCGGGCATCGCAACGAAGTCCCGATCTGCGTCCAGTAACGTCTTTGGTTGTCGGTTGTGAGACCGAACCTAAAAGGTCAAACATGAAGCTGACAAGCAGAGGACGTGTGACAACTGTACAATCCAAGGTGCTTGAAGCTGAGGCATGAAAGACCAAACAAACTAGAGTCGTTGAGGCCAGATTAGCCGAAACATAGGAAACTAAGGCTCAGGAGAGCCGAGAAGAAAAGTGAGCCTTTGGCTCGGGTTTGCTAGAAGGAGAGGTGCAGGGCTACACAGCAAGCACAAACTGCCTAGCGAGAGCCTAAGCAGCATCGAAGTGACGTGCAGAGCAGCTGTACACCTCTACGGCTTCAGATGGACTCGACGTAGGAACTCAGAGGGACACAGCAGCGCGCCTCAGCCAGCAGCCCACGCCCCGCAGCACGCCACCGCAGCCAGCAGCCAGCGGCAGCAGCCAGAAGAAGTGGTGCAGCACGTAGTTCCCCGAGGGAGCCACCGTAGAAGTCGTCAACGATGCAAATGGTCAGTGTCGTAGCGAGTTTCACGGATCATCTTGAATGATACGGGCCGGCCGCCTCGCACGAAGGTGCTGCGCCAAGACATTGGAGGCACCAGCAGAAGCCAAGATGGCCCCCCGCTCCCAAAGCGCTGCACGATGAAGCTCTGCATGCCAGCTCACCCTGCCCGATCCACGAGCCCGGTGTTCGCGAATGCTGTTGGCAGCCGCATCGGCCCGGTCGTTGAGGTCCCTGCAGCGGTCGGCCGTTAGGCCCCAGGGAGCAGTCCAGTTGGGCCGCCGACCATGTGCAGGAGTCCACGAAAGCTTCAGGTCCAAGCCACCGGCACGCACATCACGGAGTAGCCTCGCAGCCTTGTGAGCCAGGAGAGGCATGGAGCACGCCTCAGGTTGAGCCACAGCCTGAAGAGCAGAGCTGCAATCCACCAGGATGCCAACCTGACAGCCTGGGGCCAACTGCGCACGAGAGATCGCCTCGAAGAGGGTCGTCAAAGTGAGGAGCTCACATCGGAAAGCCGACTGGTCCTCACAGGCATCACCGAAGACGAAGGTGCCATCGCCGCTTCCGAAGATCACGGCACAGCCGCCGACATCAAACTTAGCACTGCCATCGGTCGCGATGAGCAGACGCTCGCCCACAGTAGCGAAGTTGCGAAGATGCGCCACAATGCTCTGAAGGGTGTTTTCAAAGTCCGAAGCTGCAGGAGCTGCAGGGTACTCAGAGATTTCGGCCGCAAAGAGCCGTTCACCAGCACGGGTGGAAGGAGGTGCGAGACCTTGCCGCAATCCCGTCGTTGAGGCGCAACACCAGGTGAGATGCGCTCGGCTGGGCTGCAAGAGGCCACAAACACACGCCGTGGTGTCGGGTGAGCTCATCTCCAGCCGTTTGCAGTGGTACCAGATGGAGCCGCCCGAGCCCAGTGCTGCAAGGCGAACTTCACGTGTAGGCTCAGCCGCGACTGCAAGGCGGTGACCTTCAAGCGCAAACCGAGCACTGCGAAGCGGGCTCAGGAGAGCCGAGAAGAAAAGTGAGCCTTTGGCTCAGGTTTGCTAGAAGGAGAGGTGCAGGGCTACACAGCAAGCACAAACTGCCTAGCGAGAGCCTAAGCAGCATCGAAGTGACGTGCGGAGCAGCTGTACACCTCTACGGCTTCAGATGGGCTCGACGTGGGAACTCAGAGGGACACAGCAGCGCGCCTCAGCCAGCAGCCCACGCCCCGCAGCACGCCACCGCAGCCAGCAGCCAGCGGCAGCAGCCAGAAGAAGTGGTGCAGCACGTAGTTTTCCGAGGGAGCCACCATAGAAGCCGTCAACGATGCAAATGTTCAGTGTCGTAGCGAGTTTCACGGATCATCATGAATGATACGGGCCGGCCGCCTCGCACGAAGGTGCTGCGCCAAGACATTGGAGGCACCAGCAGAAGCCAAGATGGCCCCCCGCTCCCAAAGTGCTGCATGATGAAGCTCTGCATGCCAGCTCACCCTGCCCGATCCACGAGCCCGGTGCTCGCGAATGCTGTTGGCAGCCGCATCGGCCCGTTCGTTAAGGTCCCTGCAGCGGGCGGCCGTTTGGCCCCAGGGAGCAGTCCAGTTGGGCCGCCGACCATGTGCAGGAGTCCACGAAAGCTTCAGGTCCAAGCCACCGGCACTCACATCACGCAGTAGCCTCGCAGCCTTGTGAGCCAGGAGAGGCATAGAGCACGCCTCAGGTTGAGCCACAGCCTGAAGAGCAGAGCTGCAATCCACCAGGATGCCGACCTGACAGCCTGGGGCCAACTGTGCACGAGAGATCGCCTCGAAGAGGGTCGTCAAAGTGAGGAGCTCACATCGGAAAGCCGACTGGTCCTCACAAGCATCACCGAAGACGAAGGTGCCGTCGCCGCTTCCGAAGATCACGGCACAGCCGCCGACATCAAACTTAGCACTGCCATCGGTCGCGATGAGCAGACGCTCGCCCACAGTAGCGAAGTTGCGAAGATGCGCCACAATGCTCTGAAGGGTGTTTTCAAAGTCCGAAGCTGCAGGAGCTGCAGGGTACTCAGAGATTTCGGCCGCAAAGAGCCGTTCACCAGCACGGGTGGAAGGAGGTGCGAGACCTTGCCGCAATCCCGTCGTTGAGGCGCAACACCAGGTGAGATGCGCCCGGCTGGGCTGCAAGAGGCCACAAACACACGCCGTGGTGTCGGGTGAGCTCATCTCCAGCCGTTTGCAGTGGTACCAGATGGAGCCGCCCGAGCCCAGTGCTGCAAGGCGAACTTCACGTGTAGGCTCAGCCGCGACTGCAAGGCGGTGACCTTCAAGCGCAAAACGAGCACTGCGAAGCGGGGCCCCCAGGCTGAGACCACGGGCCAACGTTGCATCATCGCGGTGGCCACGATTGCGGATCCGCCCACACGAATGCACGCCCTGCCACTTGTAGTGGTCCACAAGCCAGCGCTTGACCACATCAAAGGATTCCCAGCCAGAAGGTGCCCGAATCGTCGAGCCGTGCCAGGATGGCGCCATTGCCTTGGACCTGCCAGCCTAACCTTTGCACAACCGCCGCCGCACCAGGGAGGAAGCGACGCCAGTCACCACAAGCAACATCAAGCCCAGCTGTGTCGAGCCAGGCCGGGGGCCGAGCCTTGAAACGCCAGGCAGCCCGCAGGGATGCCCAGTCCGCCGCCCATTCAGGGTCCAAACTCCAGCCAAAAGAGGCACACAGCAAGACTTTAGGAGACTCGAAGGTGGCGTGCTTTTGCAGGACAGCACAAGTGGAGTGCCAGACGTCGCGCAAGCAGTCGCGGTCCGGGCAGGCGACACCACCAGCCCAAAACATGGCCGAGTGGACCAGCTGCAGCACGATGCGACGGAGCTGGGGCACCTCCCCTCCCAGGAGCTTGAGAAAGCGAAGGCGATGCAGGAGCAAGCGCGGGCTAAACTTAAGGAGCCCCAGGGCACCCTCCTGCATGTCGAGGGTGATGCCCAGCACCTTTAAAGTAGTCACGCGTGGGTAGCTCCTGGCACTGGCCCACTGATCGAAAGTCCCGACATCGGGTGGACACACCACAGCACATTTGCTGGCACGGCACTGGAAACCGAAGGCTTGGTCAAAGGAGTCAGAAGCCCTCAATGCCACATCCATGGCCCCAAGAGGGTCCGCACACGTGCAGGAAGGCCACAGCACCCGGTCGTCAATAAAGATGAGGCAGTCGGTGCGTCCCTTGGCAAAGGACTGGACCCACATGGCCCAGATATGGCCGACCGCAACCGCGGCCATTGGGGAGAGTGGGCATCCCTGCGCCAGGCCCCGCGCCGGGCTGCCCCATGCACTGCTGGACCTGCCCTCGTGCAGAAAGAGCCTCGAGGCATCCTGGTAGAAGGAGGCTAAGAGCTCAGCGAGGCCAGCAGGAGCACCAAGGTGCCGGAGCACCATACCCACCGCCTGGACATCAAGAGAGTCGAAGAACCGCGTGAGGTCCTGCTGGCAAAAGACTTTGCCGCCGCTCTGCCACGCATGAAAAAGCCGGGCATGAGCGTCGCCCGGGCCTCTACATGGCGCACCGCCCAAGGTGTGGTGGCCCAGCCATGTGTCCATCCACGGCAGCACATTGCGAGAGATGCAGTGGGCACCAGCTCGCCAGATGACAGGGCACAAGGCGATCGGTCGGTATTCATCCAGGCGCTTCGGCACCAGGGCAATCAGTGCCCGGCGCCAGAGTCGAGGAACGTACTTCGTGGAGAGCACCGCATTCCACAGAGTGGCCGCCGCTTCCCACCACGGCACTGGGAGGCGGAGCAGAAGCTCCGCTGACCATCGGTCAGGGCCCATCGCTTTCCCCCGCATTGCCTTGGTGGCCCGCATCAGAGCCTCAGCCTCGACCTGGAGCACAATGTCCGATTGCGGCCCGCCCGGGACACGGTCAAGGATGCGTTGCACTGCATCGAAGTTGACAGGGGACTCCGGCTTCCAGTGCTGCAGCCACACTTTACCATGTTCCTCGACAATAGAGGCAGGGTGAACAGAGGAAGGGACACCAGCATGGGCCTGAGGAGATTGCTCCATGGCCAACTGATGGTCAGCTTTGCGCTTGACCCAGGCAAGGGCACGAGAAGGATCCTCCTCAACACGGCAACGCCACCTGTGCACTCTGGCCTCCGTCTCCTGCTGCTGAAGCTCAGCATGCAAATGAGAGATCACCTGGGTGGCACCTGCAAGGTTGGCAGCATGTATCACAGGGAGGTCGGGGAAAGTGGCACGAAGGAGCCCAGCCCGGCGGCCCACCGCACGCCACAGCTTCTGACAGTGGGGCTGTTGTTGCCGCAGTTGGTGCAATTGCCCAAGCAACTTGCGAGATGAACGGAGGGACTGGGACTCATGACCCTGGGGGCCGACACGATGGTGAGACTCGTGGCGGGCACAAGGGAGCCAGTGGTCGCTCCTGCGGGCACCAGAGGCATCAAAGAGTGGCACCCAGCGTGCGCTCGGCCACGTCTGACAAGAAAGCCCAGGCTTCATCAAGAGCCCCACCTGCAATAGAACTCTCAAAGTGTGCGGCATCCCAGACCCTACCAAAGTTAGACAGGATGTCTTCAGTGGCCGTGGCAGGGAGCTCACGAAACTTAGGCATGGAGAAGCTGTCGGCACGGCTCAGGCACCGCGTTTCGTAGAAGACACACCCGTGGTCCGAAAGGTGCGGGCGTTCGAACTGCTTGACAGCCGTCGCAATGATTGACCAATGGGCCAGGCCAAAATCAATGCGCCGGGTGCGCGTGGGATTTGTTGGGCCGGCTTGGGTCCAGTCCGCCTCATCCAGAGACCGGAGCTCGCCATCGCACAACAGCTGCACCACAGCTTGCTCAGACTGGTCAACATTGAAATCGCCGAGCAAGATGTAGGGGCCGCCGAAGGTCGCAGCTGCACGACTAACCTCACCTAAGGCCTGGGCTGTGGCAGCTGGCTGACCAGGGAAACCGTAGAAGGCCACCACAAGGGTGATGCACTTGCTGCCAGCAGCCTGCATCTCAAAAGCACCTGCAGCACAGCGCGCAGCCACATGAGGAGGGAGCTTAAGGTTTACCCGATGCATGGGGAGGGAGGCGACTAAGGCTACCCTATGCGCACCCTTGGCAACATCGATGTCGCTGAGAACAGCCCGATACCCATGGGCACGCCAGCGCTCACCAAAACCCTGGGCCGACAAAGGGTTGATGTCAGCCTCCTGGAGAGACAAGAGCTCAGCCCCACACGACTGGAGGAAGTCGGCACACAGGTCCACTTTGGAGATGGCCGTGCGGTTCGCATTGATGCTCAAAAGCTTGATGAACACGGCGAGGAGGGGATTCGCATGGAGATGGCAAGCTTGGCAGCCGCGGCAGCACGGAGCACCTGGGAGCAGAAGTCGGGGTCACCTCCGGCACGCCGGGCCCACGCCTCGATGGCATCAAGTTTTTGGATCCGCTTCTGGGTGTTGCTCTGCGACTTGCACCGGCCCTCGCTATGCTGCTTGGCGGCAGCCAGGTCCCTGGTGCACTCACCGCACCGGAGGCACTTCCAACCATGCTCAAGGAGGACATGCTTGACCCGGGTGCTGCGGTTCTCACACCTGGCTCGAGGCCACACAAAGAGCTGCATCTGGTCCCCAAAGCGAGGGGTCCTGACTTGAGCGAACACGGCCTTGGTGAGGTTGCGCTGGCGGCACCCTTTGGCATGCACCTGGCGATCCTTGGGCCCGGTTTGCGGGAGTGCCGCAAGACGCTGCCACTCAGCCTTGGAGACCTCGGGGTGGGCCTGTGCACGGTGCTGGTTGCGCAGGGCATAGTAGGAGAATCGAGAAAGGTCCTTCCGAGTCTCATGCGTGATGCCCTTGTTGCAGAAAGGGCAACACCAGATGAACTGAGCCCTTGGGCCGCAGACCCGCGTGAGCTTGGGTCGCCCGATGTCCGCCTGCAGGCCCTGCCCCTCATGGGCACGCTGGTAGTGGTTGTGGCGGATGTGGTAGTACTGCTGGTTGCTCGTGGCCTTGCGCTTGTAAGGGCACAAGTTGCACCGAAAGGTGAGGTCAGCCGGTGCCGTGGCATGGGCCAGCCAAGGGCAGCGCTTCGGGGGCACACGAGCTCGCTCAAACTCGGATTCATCGAAGGCCTCGATAGTGCCAGTAGAGGTGCAGGTGAAGACGGACGAAGTGCACAGCTCTACCGCCTTGCGCTTGGTGCCTGAGGGCCTTGCCTGGGCCGTGGCCTGTGATGACCTCGCCTGTGGCTCGCCCCTGGGCTTGGTCTGGGAACCATGCAATGCCTTTGCCTTGCACCTGGCACTGGGTGGGCACGGCCGGGAAAGGGCCTGCACCTTTGCCTGCGACGGCACCCGGCTGCCTGAAGACCTTGCCTGTGAAACCTGTGACCTGGGCCGCCTACCTTGCAAAGAGGGCTGGGCTGTGATCGAGGGCCGCCCCGCAGCACTCCCCGAGGCGCTCGCCGGCATCGAGGTGGTCCAGACGGATGCCGGGCGAGCCTGGGATTTTGCTCCTTCGCCTTCCATGACCGAGGTCCACTGAGAGGATGGCTGGGATCGAACACAGGCAGCAGAGGAGGCAGTGAAGACCGATGGGGGCCCACGGCCACCTGCACGCAGCCCAAAGACGGGTCCAGCTGTGATCTGGGCATACTCACTGGGATACTTCTTGTGACCCTCAGGCGGGAGCATGAGATCAACGTGGTTATCCTCGTACCACAACACCAGCATCTTGGCAGCTTTGCTATGAAAGGCGTAAGGAGAAAAGTTGAGGCCCGCCGGCAGCACGACGATTTTGATGTCCAGCACACGGCCCAGGGCCCTCAGCTCGACATCCGAGCAGTATGCCGCCTCCTTCTCCATAAGAGTGAGGTAGGCCGGGAAGTCCCGGTCCTTGACCGGCTCACTGTCCGGCCCTTTGCCGTCCCATTCCTTCGCGTACTGGGTGGCGTGCCGGCGCATGTGTTCGACCATTTGCGCACGGAGCATGCGCGGGTGATTGGGCCGAGAGTCACCAAGCCATTGAAGGCCGAGGCTTAGTGCGTGCAGCACGCAAGCTCCGTCACGAGGGCATGCCTTGAGCTGGAGGTCACCTGGTTTGGTGCGCACCTCCTGCTTGACACGTTTCTGCTGGGGCACTTCCTTGCCGTCCTCGCCCGTAGCCAGCTCCCCCGTGGGAGGTTTGACGATGGTGGCAACGACAGGCTGCTCGAGAGCAACGACCGGGACGGCCTTCGAGGCGAGAGGCTTCTGCTTCTTGGAGACGACACGGAAAGGTGCCAGCGTTGCCCACAAGGACAAGGGCTTCTCCTGATGCTCGACGACGAACGGCACCAGGTCCGTGTCTGCGGTTTCAGGTTGCCCGCGGAAGCGAAAGCAGGACCCGAGGCGAGTGCGCCGATGCGACAGGATGGTGTACTCAGTGAAGCGTGTGGCCAAGAGCTGGCCGACGGCATCCACATCCCACTCGTGGGGCACACCATCGATGTGCCAGATGCGCACCGTTGCTTCTCCAGCTGCCATGGCACTTCGCCACGCCAATCGCCCCCCATTGACGACCAAACCCAGGCTGGAAGCCTGGCGCAGGGCACGTTCAAAGTAGGCGTCCACCTTCTCGCCGGGGAGCTTCTCGATCCATTGGAGCTTCGCCCGGGGCCCTGAGGTGCGAGCGGCATCCACGAAGACACCGTCCTTGCCAGAGTGGGCCAGGATGCCCTCAATGTCTGCCTTCGGAATGCGAACAATGCCAAAGTACTGCTCATGAGTGTCGTTGCGCTGCTTTTCCAGGACCCAGGCAAAAGTGTCGAGCACCTTGATCCTTTGGGCCGCGACCCAGTCTACAGCGGCCTTGGAGGCGTTGCCCCCGAAAGCCTTCCAAGTGTCGGCTGAGGCGAACTGCTTTGGCACCTTAAAGTAGACGACTGCACTTTCAGTGGGTTTGATCTTGATGGACGTTTGGCTCAGGCCGGTGGGCTGCGGAGCATGGCCACTGGCACCTGCAGACGTGAGCTTCTGGACCTTAGCAGTCCTGAAGACCAGGCGATCCCCAATGGTGCCCGGAATGCGCTGGGCCTCCTCATCCTTGGATAGGAAAACAAGCAGGGCCTTGAAGCTCAGCCCGCTCCCCCGCAGAATGTTCGTAGCAAGCGTGACCTGGTCGGCCGAAACAAAGACTACAAGTTCGAGGACCTTGCTGGCATCAGCCTTGTCAATGAACTCAGCTAGGGCAGCGTACTCGACGACCGGAGCGTCCCAATCAGATTTTCGAAGCTTGAAGGCGCCTTCCGGAGCCTTGCGCCGGACGATCTGCCAGCCATCACCGGCTTCCTGCCCGCCTGCCTCACCACAGCCGCCCTTGCCCTTGCCCCGGCGTTGACCTGAGTCGCCTGGGCCACCGCGCTGGGCCACCTTGGCTGGGCCAGACTTGTCTTCAGGCTTGCCCTTGCCTTTGGCTGCGCTCTGGCGGCCACCTGCACGCTCGCCGCCCGAAACGTCGGGGTTGCCACCTGGGTGGCTCGTGGCCTGCTTGGCCTTACGTTTCCTCTTGCGCCTGCCCTTTGGCTCAAGCTGCACGTCTGGATCACCGGACGGCCGGGCAGCAGCCAAGCCCCGGCCGAGATTGAGCGACGCCAGGGCCTGCTTTATTGCCTCGTCAACTGCCTTCTGGATCTGCTCCTTGATCGACTTCATGATGCTATCGCCAAGGCTATCCCCAAGGTTGCCAAGGTCAAGGTTGAAACCAGGGCCAGGGTGAGAGGCCTCGCCCAGGCGGCATCCCCTCTTCCAGTCATGGCACACACAAAGCATCGGCTCACCTGCAGGGGCCCGGCGGCCTGTCACACAGCACCTAGGTGCACACTCAAACCCTAGAGGGCCTAGCGGCGCCGGGGCCGGCTGCTGGCGTCGCGGAGGACCTAGAACCCAAGAGGGGAAAGGGGGATGGCATCCAGCACCTCGGTTCGTAAGCTCAGCAGGGCCCGGGTGCGAAGCTTCGCCGAACCTAAACCCCAAATGCCAGTTCCAGGTAATCACTGCTGGTGGGCCTCGCGGAC